AGAACAAAAAAATATATCAATACAAAATGCACAGTTAACAAAGCTGAAACATCATGCTGAAGCCCAATCAAGGCTAGTAACAAAAAAACAGAAATTGCTAGAAGAGGGTATTGTAGAAAAATATGATACTTCAGAAAGACCATCCGCAGCTATGAAAGATCCAGATCTATGGGATAAAATCCATGACAGCGTTGAGTTTGGAGCTGCTCATGCTAAACGAAGAAAAGTGGTCATAAAAGTTAGGACCGTGAAGTATTTACGCAAAACTCTAAAAGAAAAATATAATACTTATCTATCTCGTCAATGCTTATCAACTTATCTTCAACCCTGAAACCAACGCACCTTTGCTGCACGTCGTCATCATCATCCAACAAAGGTTGGTCTCGCCTCTGTATCACAGACAGAAATGAAACCTCATATCGATGAACATTACTGTCTAGCTTCCATCAAAGTCGCAAGAGTATTTGCTGAAGTTTTTGCTGAGGAGGCGATTATCATCTCTCAGGATGATAAGGCAAAGGTCGGATTGGGCATTTCCACAGTTGGTCGCACATTTAAAACAATCCAGTCAGTTAATAAACCAGTAACTGTCGAAGATCACAATTTCCCAACTGGTTCAAAAATGAAACTCATACCTTCTGTTTATTTAGTCATTAATCCGGCTGATTCGAGTAATACCCTTCGTACTGGTCTGCTTTCCATATTCATTAGGTCAGAATATTTCATTGGAACTTCATCAACAACCCATATAGTAGATTTAGAAAGTATCATTTCGAATGAAAAGTTTTCTACTACCCTAAAGAAAGAAGGCAAAGTTAGACTTATTTGGATTCTTCTTGTTGATGGTGGATCCGATGAAAACCTGAAGCATATAAAAAATATTATTCAATATGCTCACCTTTCCGTGCTCTTAATCTGGACTACTTGACGATTCGTATTCATGCTCCAGGTCAAAGTGCGTATAATCCGGTCGAACGCAGTATGGCTTCTTTGTCTGCAAAACTTGCTGGTATCACTCTACCTGTGGGGAATTCAGATCACATCTAAATAGTCAAGGAAAAGTAGTAGATGAAGTGTTAGTACGACAGAATTTCGAATATTCGGGAAAAAAACTACGTGATATATGGAAAAGGGATGACATACATGGGAAACCTGTGATGGTGAAATATGTCGACCAGGAGAGACATCCATTCAATGATCCTAAGCCTTCAATATCGTGGGAGTGGATTGAGGATCATATGCAGATGTGCCGCTATTCATTAGATATAAGAAAATGTAAAAATAATGAATGTTGTGGTATATATAGAGCTCCAGCTGCTGTCATCCTTTTAAATGAGAATAATGAATTCCTTCCTCCAACTACGAAAGAAAAAGATGATCACTTCATTAACCTAATCCATGCTCTTCAATATCACGATAAACTCAAAATTCCAAAGTACAATAGCTGTTGCCCTTCAATTTCACGAGAATTACACTAGCGTTTATGTTGTAGCATATGTGGTAAATACTTTCCAACCCTCAAGTTCATAAGTGACCATAAGCGTAGTATACATTCTAGACGTCGCAATTAGAAATCAAAAAGCCCTGCTAACAAGACAGAAATGGATTGTATGCTTATTCTATTCAATCTAAATTTTAACGTCGCTGAAGATATAGTTCAAAGCAAAGGTATGAAACAAGTTGAATGGGATTCTCGCGAAGTTCAGTCAGACGAAGATTAAAAAAAAGAAGAAAAAAGTTAGCTTTATATTAATTTTATGTGATGATGTAATAACGTCAGATACTTGCATATAATATATAGCTCCGTCGTGTCGTGATAAAATATAGAAATTGAGTAAAATAATAAAATTAATAAAATGCTTGCTTTTTTGATTGCATTCAGCATGTGAATATTATGATTCTGACCAATCAT